TCGGTTCAGCAGAGCACACAGCCACTGCCCCAGCAACCCGAACAGCTCTGACCACTGCTGGCACGAGCCCGTGGTGCTCAGGTCCCCTTGACCTCACAGCAAGTCCACACAAGCTCCTCTGCGAACACACACATGGTACCCCGGACTTCTGTTACCCTCAACACACCTCCTGAATGAGCAAAGCAAACACTTTGCGGTGTAAGGAGGAGTAAAATCCCAGAACTTTCCTTCGCTGAAGCCTGCTCAGATACTGCCCGTGTTTACCAGCTTGGGTGCAATGTGGGGAACCACCGCTTTACTGCTAACTCAAAGACTGATGGCATACCTGCGTGAACAGCATACTTCTCTAAATAGCCCCCAACTAAAACCTAAGTCCTGGCTCTTCCACATAACCTGGAATCTCAAGTAACACCAGAACTGTTGGATTTTCCACAGTAACCAGCAAAATTTGGAGAACCTCTAGTTGGAGGCTGTTAGGAGGCTGATGCTAACTAGTCACTGAAAAACAAGGGTCTTCCAAGCTGCGTTTGGCCTCAAGTCCAACACTCCTAAACTCTAGATTTTGATCAAAAATTTGTTTCCCGTAAGCCTTATTAACCACAGCTGAGCTATCAGGGTAGCCCATTAATCAAATGGAAGAAAACTCGAATTGTTTGGCTTTGTTGTTTTGTTTGTTTGTTTTTTTAATACAAAGGTGATCTCATCGGCTGCCTTTAATATTGCAGAGGGGGCGTATTAGAAATGCCTAGACATTGTCCCTCTAGCATTACTTCGTAACAGCCCTCAATAAATCTTTCAACCTCTAACTGTTTTGCTTCACGCAAGTGTGCGGCATACCTGTTCTTCCACTGATTTTTCTGTACACCCGCTGATACCAAAACATAAGAGGAAACCCCGAATTAGACATTAATGTACAGCAAATCCCTTCTGCTTTGCCAAGCGTGAAGGATCAACATCAACGTTCTCTTTGTAATCTACAGGTTTAGAAATCAAAATTGATTTTGTGGATTAAAATCATTCTGGTGAAAGTGTTGGGTTTTTTTTCCAAGAGCGCAGCAAGTGCAGGCACAAAGCAGAAAGCCAGTTTTCTCACAAAACTAGCTGAATAACATCCACATCAGTGAGTTTGCGGCATTTTGTTGTGTGTATGTGGAGTGCTAATCTCCATATTAAGCATTACAAGAATATTTTGATACATAAGACACGTTCAACTCTTAAAATGACAGGCAAGGATTTTGTATGCACAAGGCAGCCTCTCCTTGCGCTTGAAGAACATACTGCGACTGGCAATTGCACTCACTACTGTTAAAAGACACTAGCCACAGTGTCAGGCACGGGAGCCAAGTCAGCCTCCTGGCCTCCCTGCATGCTCAGCAAAGAAAAAACAGGCATCTCCACCCGGTGAGCCAGGCCACCGTAATGCAGGCATCTAACACGAGCAGGACGCCTCCCTGCCTGGAAATGCCTGCTGGTCTCCATTGACTTGGACTGGAGATAACTACCCTGGCTTAGACTTCTGGTATTGAGGAAAGAAAGCTCAGCAAAATGTATCCCATACAAATCAGAAGGTTCTCTGTTTGACTCTGTTCAATTCACCTGTGAGCATCTAGGAAGGCGCATGTCTCTGAGAAGACCATGAACTCTGAAGAAGACAATAACAGTTGCCAAAGGATTAACAGACTACAGCAGCTGAAGTTCATTGAAGGTTAGAGGGATCCAGACAGCAACTCCTTCAGGTGGACACTTCTGCCCCACACACCACCAAAAATCTGTAGTTATAGCTTAGTATCAGCTGAGACTAAGGTAGCACATCAAAGCCCCAGCAAAAGCCAACGGTCCCACCAGAATAGGGATCACGTGAGCAAAAGGACAGAAGTTTCTTTCTCCATGTGTATTTACATTCAGACAGGGACATGCTCCCAAAGTCTCATTCCTCACGACTATTTCTATAATGCATTGCCTCCTGCAGAACCTGGAGTCGACAGGCAAAGCGCAACTGAAGCTTTTGACCTATTACATTAAGATCCAGGGGATCTTATTTTACTGAGCTAAAAATAAACCAATTTCCAGAAAAAGGGACATGGAATTTTTTCCATTTAAATCCCACATAGTTTAAAGTCCTCGTGATCTATTCATAGCTTCTGTAAAATCCTCTAGCAAATGACACCTTTTCCACAGGTGGAACAAGAGTTCCACTGGCTGCCAGAGCATACCCACGCCAATCTACCTTGTAGTAATCATACAGCAGTCCGAGGGCAGCTGCGCTGTCTTCATCACCATTGATGCTCATCATAGCTTTGGTAGCTGCTGTAAGGGGATTTTCAAGAAAGGTTTTCCAGGCCTCATCTTCACTGGTGTAAGGACGTCTCTGAGAGTAGAGAGAGTCATTCTGAAGAACCAACACGGGTCTTTTACTTGAATCATAAAAAAAAGAAGAAAGAAGAAAGAAAAAAAAAAAGCCAAGTGTTAGAACACATGAAAAACATTCCTAAAGTTCTTCAAAATTAGCTGCCCCAGTTTCACAGGGTTCATATTCTGATTCAGTGCACTGCAAGGATTAGTCAACGCAAAAAGCCCAGAAACCTAATTCTGATCTCACTCACGCTCAGTGTAAATCAGGATTAATTTGACCAAACTCAGCTGGATTCCACCAGCCTATATAAAAATCACAAAGCCGTTTAAGAGCACCACTGACCTGCTCATGCTCTGAATCCAACCCAGAAAAAGTTACACGCGCTTACTGGCCTACCACCTACAAAACCTCTAACGCATCCTACGTAACACTACCAAGCCAGAACCTGCTCCAGTTCCCACATGGCACTAGAAAATGTGAATTAACAAAACATCTCTTTCCCCCAGAGCTTTCAGAAGGTGTCTTCCCTCTCAGGGTGTATCTGAAAACACCACCTAGAAGCTGCTGATTAGTTACAGACTACACAGGGAAATTGGTCAAAGGGACCTCAAATCAATTCGGCAGTGAATTTTTCTGACAAGGGAAGCCAAAAGACTTACTGCCTGGTTACTGTTGAAATAATCTGTGACACTGGTTTGAAACATCCTCAACAGATGACTGGGAGAAAAAGAGAAAAACTGGAGTTTTTCCCTTTATGTTGTAGTATACAAAAAATATTATATTTACTCTGAACATTTCGAGATTGCTGGGAACAAGATGACTTGGACCTTCTGCCCACAGGTGAAAGCGGGACATCTGTAGAAAATGCTGTCCTGCCAGCTTAGACAACTTAATATACTTTGGTTCTATTGGTAAAATACACACTTCATCTTTCAAGTCGGTTCAAGCTTACGTTGTTTAAATCCGACTTTTAAACCAGTTCAAACAGTTTTCTTTCCAGCGCAAGCATTAACAGTTTACTGCAGATCAGCAGGGAGAGGAGGGAGACTTTCTTATTTTCTTAAATAATTCCAGACTCGGCATTTTTTAATGACTTGGTAATAGTTTAAAATAAATAAATATTTAAAAAAAACCCCAAAACACAAAAACCAGTTCCCCACCACCATCACACCCCTTCCCCAGTAGATAAGCGTTCTTTTCATCTATTTACCCAGATGCATTCAGAGATTGAAATATACTACAAATACAAAAAGTTGTGAAATATAAAGTTGTGAAATACTCTAATCACTATAATCAGCTTAACAGTATCCTACATTTATCACCACCTTCTACCAAAAAGATTGCAAAGCACTTTGCAAATTACGCGTTCGATCTTTTATCAGTTACACAAGGAGTCTCGCTGAGCTTCAATGGGACAGCTTGGCTGAGCTGAAGACACTTAAAGCAAGTGGGAGTTTCCAGGACTTGTAAAAGCACTTTGTGGCTATAAATCAGTATTATATAGTCGGAAAAAAGCAAACAACAACAACAAAAAAGACAAGCTCCTGCACCGAGCCCTTTCTTTAGGTCTTTGTACATATTTGTGTACACACTGAGGCTGATGCCAAAACGCAGTGTACCAAAATGCAGATACCTCTGGTATCAAGGACATCCACTTTCTTATCAAAGACTGCACAGCAGAAGATAAAGCAAAATTTTCTTTAAGGACACGGTACAAGCTCCTCTTCTTATACAATGTGATAAAAGAAACCTCGAGTATCTATAGCAAATGGGTAAATCCTCCAACTAAAGTCACTCGTAAAGAAAAAGGCAACTGAAGTATCCTGGGTGCAGTTCACTTGATCCATCCCTGCCAAGCTGAAGGGCTAAGTCAGCCTTGCTGGGACTCACAAGACCACTAAGCTGATTCCCTCCAGCAACGCAATGCTCACATGGAAAGAGAGAACCAAAAACACTGAGAACTAAAGCAGCCACTAACCAGAAACGTAGCAAATGCAAAAATTACCTATTTTTGTGTGATTTCTTTGTCATTGCAACACCTAAGTATAATGCACATTGCCCTGCAGGTAACCTACCCCTCTAAAAGCAGCGTAGAAAGAATTATCTGCAGAATTATCAAGAGAAGCACAGGGTTTGGCAGTAACTCAAGCCCTTAACAGAACCATAGCTTCTTTCAGGAAAACGAGAACATGTAAGGGAAGGCAAACATTTATTTTTCCTAAGTTTTAGGTTTCAAGATTACTGGCATGTGGATCTGCTCACAAAGTAGTAGACATGTCCAGCAAAGGCTGGAAATAAGTTTCCTACCACAGTTTTAATAATTTCCAAATTTTATTTTCTACATGACTGAAGTTGTAGCAGAGGAATATTACAAAAAACAGATACTCTCTCTTTGCCTGCGAGGATCCTGCAGCCTACAATGCTCTGTGTTCAGATCACAGAAACTATTCCTACTTACTTCACCGATCCAAAACCCACCCTTTCTCTCCCTCACCATGCAATTTAACTCGAGACGTTAAGAGACCCTCAGCCGCACTGTGCTTTAGAGCCAGTCTTTGCACAGAGCACACCTTTAATGCTGAGGCAGCAGAGAGGATTGCTTTCGCCGGCTTCGATGTGCCAGAAAAGTGAAGCGCATGTACCTAAATTAATATAGCCTCATCTATTAAGCATCATTGGAGGTAAAAAAAACACACGAAAAATCCTAATCACAGGGTGAAGTTAGTGGGCTACTGCATTAGAGTCCTCTTTCTAGAAAGCAGTATATTAAGAAAAAAACTTCGGTAAAAATCCTATGCTTTCCCCAGGAAATGAGTGCATTTGAGTCACCGATCATTCAAAATACAGTAGTTTTATAATCGGTTCTTCGAATCACTTCAGAGTTATCCCGTTTTCTATTGACTTCCAGTGTCTATGGCCCCCGTCTCCAGACGGACACGGTGACAAATGTAGAAATAAACCCAAGCCGTTAAACACACCAAGGGATCCGTTTGAAGAAGACGTCTCGGCATTCAACACCGTGAAGTTACAGAACACACACTTTAAGCTCAGTTTTAGCTCTTCTAACACCCGCTTTCGCGTAGTACGAGGTAGCTGCAGCCGAGCTCACCGAGAGCCCCACTTGGCCG